ATCAGAGAGCTAGACAGGATGTTCCTTGTTTTGAACTCCCAGTTTCTTTTCCCCCCTAAGTAATTAGTAAACTTTATCTTTTAAAGCTAATAAGAGCTTCATTTTGCAGCCACGTCTGAGTGATTGATCTAAATATATTCTTCAAACCCAGACCAGGACAATTCTGGGCTTAGGGAGCCAGGAAACACAAAAGTCTCAGTTAAGGATCTGGTTTTTCCCCCCTCCTTCAAGTTGCCAGCACTGAATTTTTCAGTGTTGTTAAAATGGATCTACTGAGCTAGAAGAAGCTGGATTTCTGTTGTGGCCATTATACCACCATTCCTGTCCTCTTTTAACGCCCGCAGTGTTGTGAGAATATTGCGTAGAAAGCTAGAGAGAGATTTATACTCTTTGGCAGTTGCCTTCTCTGTTTGCATTGGGGGGGGGGGGGTTGCCTCAGTAATAGGAGGGGCAGAAGCAGAAAAGTTAATGCCCAGTTTCTCTTGGCCTGCTAAATGGTTTCAATCACTCATGGCAAATCACCTTGCGTGTGAGAGTGAATGCATGCATGCCTCTGAGCGTGTGCAGAATACCTTGTACTCACAAATGGATAACTGCTGTCAAACCTTTACTCTCACCCTCTCCATAAAAACTGGCTAAAGGACTGAAGAGGCAAACTCCTCAGGCCAGCCTGAACGCCAGGGCCTCTCTCTGCAGAAAAAGAAATTCTCCACTGCAGAGGGCCAAAGGGCTCCAGGGGCGTAATACCCGGGCAGTCTTAATCCCCACCATCCATCTCTCACAACAAAAAGCAACGTCTTTGGGAAGATCTAAATAAATCTGAGCCAAGAATAATCCCTTCTCTCAGTGTCGAGATTGCAAATCTTTTGTGTGTGCGCAGGGGTCCGTCCCCCCCTTACCACAGAGTAGCCACAACCTATCTACCTACCTATTGTTAGGGGATAATTTCTAGGACAGAGGGAGAGATTTGCAAGCATGCATTATTTAGGAATCTCCCCTTTGAGGCACTGATTAATTTTGGTCTCCCTCACTCCAGTTTTCCTGGTGCAGTTGTGAATCCCACCCCGTGGCCTTATGCCCTGCAACATCTGTTAAGAAAAGGATGTAGGTGCACCAGCGGTGCGATCCTAAACAGAGTTAAACCCTACCAAGTTCACTGAAGTCAGTGGGCTTCGAAGGGTGTGGCTCTGTTTAGGACTGCACTGTAACCCACAAAGGACTCCGACTATCAGCATAAGAACGCCCCTTCTGCTCGGGTAGGAGAGTTGAAGAAAAAGGCAGCGGGGGGGGGGGGCACACCAAGGCAAAACCAAGAAAAAGAAACAAAACGCTACATATGGGAACGGCAGGGGAAAAGAATCGGAAAGATTTCGATTTCCCCTGACGAAGCTGTCTGTGAAATGCAAAATGCGCAGGACTTGCATAACTATGAAACATTCCATTCCCTCTGCACCATTTTGTGTCTTTTTCCTTCATTTTGGGTAGAAGCGTTGCCAGGTCCCCTTTGGCCATTGGCGGGGGATGGGGGGGTAGGATTGCCAGATCCCGGCTGGGAAACTCCTGAAGATCTGGGGATGACGCCCGGCAGTGTTCCCTCTAAGCTGAGTTAGTGTGAGCCAGCTCACAGTTTTTTAGCCTCCAGCTCACACATTTTAGTCTTAGCTCAGGAAGGGATGGCTCCAGAGCAAACTAATGTATGCCGTAGCCAAATCACTCACTCACCACTTTAATGCCAGTAGCTTACAAATTAGAATTTGTGCTCACAAGACTCCACAGCTTAGAGGGAGCATTGACGCCCCGGGAGGACAGGGACCTCAGCGCCATTGAGTCCACCCTTCAATGCATCCGTTTTCTCCAGGAGGAACTGATAGGGATGCCAGGTTCCCCCTGGCTACCGGTGGGGGATGGGGAGGTACAATTGCCTGATCCAGGATGGTAACCCCCTGGAGATTTGGGAATGGAGCCTGGTGAGGAAAGCCAAGTCAACGGGGTACAATGCCCTCGAGTCCACCCTCCAAAGGATCCATTTTCTCCCAGGGAACTGATCTCTACAGTCTGGAGATGAGCTGTAATTCCGAGGGATCCGTATTGGATGGTGTGACGCAGATCTACGGTTTGTTCTATGCGTGCCCGCTCGTGGCAACTATTACACATACAACTAGGTAGGGGAGGCAATAACTGCCACTAAAAGCTCAAGAACACTTTTATGTTTAAGCTCAAAGCTAACGTTCCAGGTTGTTTTTATCTTTCAGTCTGGTAAACAGCCCGTCTCTTCAGAGGCGCACAATTGCGACTGCGCACAGATACTGTGTGCCACATCCCTAGTGGTGTGTGGAAGCAAGCATCGTTAACAAAGCGGTTCAATGTGACCTCACCGAGCCCTACGGTTGCCTACCTCCAGGTGGTACCTGGAGATGTTACTGTTGATCTCCATACAACCAAGATCAGTCCCTTTGGAGAGAATGGCCGCCTTGGAGGGCGGACTCTACGGCATCCTGCCCCACTGAGGTCCCCCCCCTCCTGAAATCTTGCCCTCCCCAGGCTCCACCCCCAACATCTCCAGGGATTTCCCAGCCCTGAGCTGGCAACCCTACCAGACCCCATCCCATTATGTCACAAATGAGTCTCAGGGATCAGGAAAAGGGGAGAAAAAGGAAAGGGGAGAAAACAGGCCCTGCTGGTGCCTGGGCAGCAGGAAGCCTGAGAGAAAGCTCTGTGGGAGGACAAACTTGGAAAAGGAGAAAGGGAAGGAGGGAGGGAGGGAAGGAGGGAGAGAGGGAGGGAGGCAGTTAGCCAGCAAGCTGCAAAGTGGGCAGCCAGCAGAGAAACTGCTGGCATCCGTACAGGACTCCAGCAGGATTGTGGGCATCAAAAACGAGGGCGGCAGGCCAGGCATCGGAGACAGGGCAGCCAGCCAGTCAGCCCCCCCCCCCCCCTTATGGAGACAAGACCGCCATCCACTAAGCCCTGGCTCATCACCCCAGCAAGTCAGATCCCAAAGTGCCAGAGAAACAGAGGCAAAGCCAGAGAAAGAAAGTGGGGATGAGCCGGCAGCCTCACCGCTGTCTGCTACTGGGAGCCAGCCACCGGCAGTAAACATCACTTCGTTAGGAGTCGGAAGCCTCTGAACTGGCCATGCCCGGCCCTTATTTATCGATTTGATTTTACTCTCCTTCCTTGCCATGACTCAAAGCGGATCACAGAGTTAGGAAAACAAGGCAATAAAGGAAACGGTGTAAAATACGTTGTAAAGAATGCAGCAACTGGATTCCAAAACTGGTGCAGTACAAACAAGGCAATCCGCACAATAAATTAGGCAATAAGCTACAACTGTGTTCCCTTTATGAAAGGGCCCTTCCTGGCCAATTCTATTTAGTACAACCCCATTCCCCTTATTAAAATGCCCTTTTGAACATTCGAAGACAACACAGCACAAATAAAATTAGCTTTCCTAGGGAACAGAGCAATGGCTTCTGCTGAAATGATTCTCGTCTCCCCAGCCCAGCCGAGCTCCATCTCTCCCTGCTACCAACCACAATGCCCCTGGAGAGGTCAACCCTTGCTCCATATCTTGGTCTAGCTCTGGGTGCTTCAAGTCCCAGCGTGGCACAGATACTGTGGAATTGTGTTCACACACCTCTTGTTCCAAATAGCAGCAAAACTTCACCAGTTAACCCTTCACCAGTAAAGTCCTTCAATACTGTTTGCATCCACACAGACACTTCAGGGGCAGTCATTGCATTACTAGCTCCAAAGCATCCCACTAGGGATGGGCACAAACCAGCTCGCAAACTAAAGTCCGTGACGAATTTTAGCCGGTTCGTGCTTCACGAAGTTCCTGGCAGTCATTTCCTCAGACAGGCAGTCATTTCCCCAGAAAGCACTTCCCTTGGGGCACCTTCTTTGGGGGGACATAACTCAGACCCCATAAATCCAGCACTCACCAAACTTGGAGGGCAAGTAGAAGGGAATCAGCCGGAGATCCTGAGAGTTTGGTGCCTCTATCATGTCGGGGGGGGGGGGGGTCATTCTACTGCATCACAAACCAAACCGGTTCATGACACGGCTTAAAATTCACAAACGGGGCACACCATGAACCATGAACCAAATTTTCCCGGTTCATGCCCATCCCTACATCCCACACTCTGCAGCATGCCTTTGGTTCCCTTCTCCAGCATGGCAAAAACTCCCTAACCCTCCGATAAACCATGGGTATCCCTGGTACCCCTCAATGTATCCTGGGTCAGCACAACTGGGTCAGCTCTGGCAAGGGTGGTAGGCCAGGTGGGGGTGGGGCAGGACCTTTCATGCCCCGTCAGGCTTCCCAGTTTTCCATGCTGAGCAGCTTTGTCGCCTCCATGCTGCTAGACGGACAGGAGCTCCCCTAACCCTCCTGTCTAAATTAAGGCGCAGATAATTACAGAGCCGTTTGCTTTTAAGCCTGTTTGTATGAATCAGGCGAGGGAGTTAATTGATATTTACCCGACGCGGGCTCTTGCCACTGGAGAGAATGCTCTATTGTTTGGAAGGGGAGCGGAGGAAGTCAGAAGCCAGCCACAATGGAGGTTAAACAGTTGCAGAGATCCACATGGGGGGGGGGGGCAATGCCAGAGAAAAGGAAGCCCCACTCAGGAGCAGGCAGAGAGCAAAATGGGGCTTTTGGCCAAGACAGACAGAAAACCGAGGTGGCTGTGTAGGCTCAGAGCTGCCTGGCAGCTGCCCCATGCTCCCACCTTGGTGGCATCACTGAAGCACCACGTGGGCAACCCTTGTGCCTGGCAGGGGATTCTGGGTTGCCGGCTTACATAACTTACCCACGGCCTTTCCACCCACAGGCTTAGTAAACCCCGCCACTCTCCCACGCTTCCCCTGCAGCAAGTCGGTTTTCTCTGAGTGCAAACCACTGTGGATTCCTCCCCACCACCCCTCACAAACCCTGCCAAGCCGACGCGCCTTCCCCAGCCAGATGTGTGTCGGAGATGCGAGGCGGCCTTACTCACTCTCATCAGGATTGGGGGCTGCCAGGATGGCGCTGTGCTTTCGCTTCACCTCTTCGACGTTCTCGGCAATCTTGTCGATGTACCCCCGGATCTCTTCCACCTGGGGAAAGCAAAGAGGCCGGGAGTGAGGAGAAAGGCCTACTGCTTCTCTAGTGGAATTAACAAAACCGGGTTCCCGGTGGACTACACTGCAAAAGAACGACACTCACCATGATGAATAAAACCTTGATGTATTCTACCGAAGTATACATGTATCCAATGCATACAGTACATTAAGGTAACCAGGGGTAATTTCCTGCGGGAGCGCACAGGAGCAGAGCTCTGGCAGTAAGGAGCCCTGGGGGTGGGCACATGCAACAAGCCCCGCCCCCTGCTCCCAGCAGCCCTCAGTCAGGCCAGGAGGCACAAGAAGCAGCCAGGTAAGTTGCAGAGTCCCCCCTGGCCAGCCTTCAGGTACAAGCTCTCCCTCCTCTGTGAGGGCAGATGTGCGCGTGTCCCCCCCCCCCATAGCTAGCAATCCAAAATAGCCCAGTGGCACCTTTAAGACCAAGTCTTATTGAGGTACAAGCTCTCCCTCCTCTGCGAGGACAGATCTGCACGTTCCCCCCCCAATAGCTAGCAATCCAAAACAGTCCAGTAGCACCTTTAAGACCAAGTTTTTTTCAGATACAAGCTCTCCCTCCTCTGAGGACAGATCGTAAGTTTCCCCCCCCCCCCCCCCAATAGCTAGCAATCCAAAACAGTCCAGTGGAGCCTGAGTGGTGGGTGTTGCCTTCTGACAGACTTCCGGTGATGTCAGAGGGTGTGTCCTATGCAAATAAGTTACGCTAATGAGTTATACTAATGAGTTCCTGCACCTCTTTTTCTACGAAATGACCCCTGAAGTTAACAATTCTGATTTCCAGGTTTTCACCATACCTTTGAGGATATTGCAACTGTATATTTTCTAACTGAAATCCTCACCATAATACATTGTAGCACAGTACTTGTGGGGAATCTTTACAATCCAGTGTTCTGTAGTTACTCTCTACTGAATTGAACCCAATCTTCTTGAGCATAAATTCTCACTAACAGTAAATTTTGAGATATATAATACTTCAGCGTGTCTCAGCCAATGCTCCTTCTAAGCTGTGGAGTCTTGTGAGCAAAAATGCTACTTTGTGAGCTGCTGGCATTGCAGTTGTGAGTGAGCGATTTGGTTGCTGCATAAATTAGTTTGCTCTGGAGCCCTCCTTCCTGAGCTAAGACAAAATGTGTGAGCTGGAGGCTAAAAAACTGCGAGCTAGTGCACACTAACTCAGCTTAGAGGGAACACAGGTCTCAGCGGTATGACAATCAAAATCCATCCACAAAGAATCCAGCGACCCGACAGGTAGCTGTGGATATCTTCCTGTTTCAGTTTCCTCTTTTTTCAAGAATCACTGTGATTTTACAACCAATATTTTCTAGAGAACTTCCCAGACAAAACTACTAGACAGCTTCCTTCTGAATGCAACACACCCTTCTTCTGCGGTAGATTCTTAGGTGGGGTTTAGCATTCTCAAAGTGAAGCCAGTTCTGCGACCACTCGGGGCTGGCTTGAGACAGCAGAGCTCCTTTAGGACTGCTCCTTCCAGCATAAGAAGAGCTCTGCTGGATCTGACCAAAGGTCCATCTAATCCAGCCTTCTGGTTTACACAGTGACCAACCAGATGCCCCTGGGTTGCCTATTGTTTATTTATCTGTTTATTTTATTTATAGACCTCCTTTCTCCCCAATGGGAGCCACTTACATTGTTCTCTCCTCTCCTCAGTTTTATTCTCTCAGCAACTCTGTGAGGGAGGCTAGGCTGGGAGTGTGTGACTGGCCCAAGGTCCCCCAGCAAGCTTCCATGTCAGAGTGGGGACTCGAACCTGGGTTTATGCAGATCCTAGTCCGACACTTCAAGCACTACACTATACCAGTCTGGCTCTCATAAACAGGGCACGGAGGCCAACGCCCCTCTTCCTGTTGCTGTCCCCAGAACAACTAGCATTATGAGGTGCACTGCCTCTGAACATGGAGGTTCTATTTAATCACCATAGCTGGCATCTATCGATGAACCTACCCTCCATCAATTTCCTTCTAAAGGCATCGATGCTAGCTGCCACCACATCTTGTGGTAGTGAGTTCCACAGCTTAATTGTACATTGGGTGAAGGACAGCTTCCTTTTTTTCTCTGCTGAATCTACAGCCCGTTAACACCCAAGTTCTAGTATTAGCTGAGAAGGATTTGAGCTTCTGTCTGCTTCCTTTCTCTATCCAATCCTTAATTTTATAAGTCTGTATCTTGTCTTATAAATTTCTAAGCACAATTTCATTAACTTTTGTCCTTCAAGACCACACTCACTGGTAATTCTTTCTAGTCAAAATGGTGGGATCATGTCTCACTGGTAGAAGCATCTGCTTTGCATGGTGATTAAATAGAACCTCCGTGTTCAGAGGCAGCGTACCTCATAATGCTAGTTGTTCTGGGGACAGCAACAAGGAGAGGGGCTTTGGCCTCAGTGCCCTGCTTATGAGAGCCAGTATGGTGTAGTGTAGTGGTTAAAGTGTCGGACTAGGCCCCAGGTTAAATCCCTTGCATCTCCAGTTTTTAAAAAGGATCAGGTTGTAGGTGATATGAAAACCACCACCTGAGACCCTGGATAGCCGCTGCCAGTCAGAATAGACAATACCAGCCTTTACAAATCAAAGGTCTGACTACAAGGCCATGTCACAGGCCTTCACTGCTTGCCAGCATTCTATTGGTAGCAGTTCTAGGCTGAGCAGTTGGACGTCACAAACACACCAGATCAGCCAGTTGCAAGGCTGCCAACTCATGTGCAATAGGCAGCCAACTCTTAGGGTATCAGCAAGAGAGGAAGCCTTGCTCCCAAATGCACCTTACAGTTGAAAACAGGATCACTCACTTGTTCAAAAAAATGGTCCATGAAGCGGTCCCGATCCACTCCAACAGCAACTTCATCATCGTCATCACTGTCCTTGGCCTGCAACACAAACAGCACCATTTCTAAAACCATGCTCAAACATCTGAAGGCACCTGAGGAGAACACTGGTGGAAAGGAAACCAAAATGATATCCTGGGAAGGAGGAAAATTCTAGTGTCCTAGCAGGTGCCTATTGCACAGCCCCTGTGATTTCACCGTAACTTTGATGGGGGGTTTTCACTTTCATCTTGAGTTTTATAATAGCCCCAAGGTTAACTCTGTGTTTTACTTCTTTTTAAAGGAGGGTTTACTAGTTGTTAGGGTGTTTTTTTTTTTTAATGGATTTAGTTTATCATGCATTGTTGTTGTGCAGATAGATTATGGTTTGTCTTTGGTATTGGGAGCCAACATTGTTTATTAACCTAAAACATTCCCCCACATTATACCTGAACTTCGATAGTTGCCTTTTAAAAATTCTGTTACTTCCGTTCATTCATTCTTTGCTGTATTGGAATCTTCCTGCAAAAGCCCCCAAGTCCCAAATGTTACATCTGAACCAGTTTACTCACCTTTTTCTTAGGGAAAACACAGACTTGAAAACATCTATTTTGCAATTGCATTGTAATCTCACCCTACCACCAAAGAGCTGGTATTCTCACAGGTACATGGTTCTCCCTGCCTCCATTTTATCCCCACAACAATCCTGCAAGGAGGTTCGCCTGAGAGGCAGAGAGAATGACTGGCCCAAGTTCTCGCCCTTTGAGCTTCATGGCTGTATGTGGATTTGAACCATGGTCTCCCCAGCCACCTAAGGCTCTCACTCCCCCTTAGCCTGAGCCTAAGTGACTACTTGAAAAGAGTATCGTCAATTTCAGCTTACCTGCCTTGTCAATTTCACCTCCTCAACCCATGAAACTGACAAAGCCGTCCAGTAAAAGATCCCTCCAACAAACCATAGCTTTGGCCACCTGACTCCCCTGGCTCCTGATCCAGAGCAAAATGGGCTAAAGGAATTTCTTGGTCTTGCTCACCAAGTCAGGTGCCAGCTCTCATCCACTAAATCGTTCCAGCAAGATGAATTTGTCAGAGATGCTTTAGGCTGGTCCTGCATTGGGCAGGGGGTTGGACTAGATCAGGGGTGCCCAAACTTGCTTAATGTAAGAGCCACACAGAATAAATGTCAGATGTTTGAGAGCCGCAAGACATGAACAAATATTACACACGTTTTAAATTGAAATATATGCAAACTTTGCTTTTTATTAACGTGAAATGAGACTGCCAAAAATAAAAAAGTGGTAAAAACAGGTATTTATAATGATATTTATTTGTCCAATGATTTTGTTTGTTTGGTAATGATATTTATTTGTCTAAGAGAATGAGAAAGGGAGAGGGAGGTGGGGGGGAAAGAATAAAGGAGATGGAAAGAAAGAAAAACAAAGAAAGCAAATAGATGGGAGGGAGGGAGGAGGGGAGTGAGGTGGGAAAGGAAGGAAGGAAGGAAGGAAGGAAACAAACTTACTTTACCTTTAAATGTGTCCTCCAAGATGCCCACCCCACCCCAGCTGGCTTGGCGAAGGAATTTAAAGAGACAAATGCCTTCTCCAAGCTAGCGGGGAGGGGGGCGCTTTTGAATGCATTTAAAGTTAAAGTTGCTTTCTTTGCTCCCCTCACCTCAAGCCTACCCAGGGAGGGGAACACTGGCTGGGGAAGGAACAACCGATTGGGGACGCATGCCTCCCCTTCGCTTCCCCAGCCGCCCTGATGGGAGCTGCACAATATGTGTGAAAGAGCCACATGTGGCTCCCGAGCCGCAGTCTGGCCGCCCCTGGACTAGATCGTCTGTATGGCCCCTTCCAACTCTATGAGTCTACTAGGAATAAAGCCCGTTGTGGAAATAAATACAACGAGATCTAGAAAGAGGCTCTGGGGGAGTGCTCTGGCTTTGGGCAAACAGTGTCAATTTGCTGTGGTGGCCTCAGCAGGGTATAATGACAGAGTCCACTGTTTTCTCCAGAGGAACTGATCTCTGCTACCTGAAGAGCAGTTGTAATTTTGAGTGATCTGTAGCCCTCACCTGGAAATTGGCAACAATTGTTACCCAGGACGAAATGGCTGGTTTGGAGGGTGGAGTCTATGGCATTCTACCTGTCTGATGTCCCACCCCTCCGCAAACCCCACCCTCTCCAGGCTCCACCCCTCAAATCCCCAGGAATTTGCCAGCCTGGAGTTGGCAACCCCATCTCCTTCGCAGCTAACCATCAACCTACCATTATCTGCCCCTTTGACTTCAGCTGACTTCCGCCCTCCCTTCTGCAGAGCAATTGTAATTTTGAGTGGTCTCCAGCCCTCACCTGGAGATTGGCAACAATGGTTCCCCATGAGGGACTGAGTGGTTTGGAGGGTGGAGTCTATGGCATTGTACCTGTCTGAGGTCCCACCCCTCCTCAAACCTCACCCTCTTCAGGCTCCATCCCTCAAATCTCCAGGAATTTCCCATCGGGAGTTGGCAACCCTATCAGGATTGGCCCCAATATGTTTTCTCCCAAAGGCCAAAGTAGGTGACAGGACCAAGCTTAGTTGCCTACCAACAGGCACTGAGGGGAAAGTAGGGTTGCCAGCTATAAGGAGGGAAATACCTGGAGGTTTGGGGGGTGGATTCTGTAGAGGGCAGCATGGGGGG